GGTGTCGGGGGTGCTCCTGGAGACCCCTGCAGGGTGCCCGGAGTGAGGTGTTGCGGGAGAGGCCGTTTGCGGCGAGGTGTGAGATCCAGCGGGCTGGCAGCCTCCTGCGGCCCTGGGGCTGCCCTCAGTGCCCCTGACCCTCTGCAGGGTCTCCCCGCCCCGTTCTGCGAAGCGGGTTGTGGTGCTGTGAACTCTTTATTAGTAAAACAAGCCAGACCTGAAGCGTAAACTCTGCAGGTTTCTCCATTCCCCCCATAACTTTTGGTTTTTTTCAGCTGTTTTCATCTCAAATTCATCACACGGACGTTAGGAAAGCTTGTGTCCTGTTTATGAGGCAACACCAGCAAAAGTTTGACTCTGTAAGTAACGTGTGTGTTGGGTGATTTGTGTGTGTAGTTTAGAAGTAACACGGAAAGGGACGAGTGGTTTAACCATAGACATGTGCACTGAAAAATGTGTCTTTTGCCAGGCTTGATGCATGTAAGAGAAAATAAATGGGAGTGTGATTGCTTGCTTTCCTTGTTCGAATTGCGGTTGTGCAAGTTTTATTTGCCTTTATGTTTCTGAAGTTCTTGGAAGTAAGTTACTAATACCCGAGTAACCAGTAGAGTGTTAGTACTTTGGGTAGTATGTTCTCTGTGGAGCACCCATTGCAGAATTTAATAGGTAGGAAAGATGTAGAATTTTGGAGTAAGTAAAGAACATGAAAAGATGTAGTAAAACTCCAGTGTATGTTGAGCTTAATTGTTGCATAAAGTCATGGGTTTGGAGGTAGTTATTTTTGTGGGTTTTTTGGTTGGTTGGTTTTGCATGTGGTTGCTTGTGCAGTCAGACCCTACAGCCCTTCAGAACCCCAAAACTATAGAAATTAGCAGAAATTTCATGTCTGTGCCCTCTGCCCCCTTCCCATTCAGCAGCTAGTAAGTGCTGGTGTAGTGTTTAGGTTTAACTTGGCTTTCCAACTGGCTAAGTTTTTCTATTTGTTTTCTTCTTTCTTTTATTGAAAGTATGTGGAAGGATCATTTGAGAAGTATCTTGAGCGACTAGGAGATCCAAAGGTAAGACAAATCTAATACCTGTCAAGAGATAATAAAATTTGAGGAGACTAAAACCGGAAAGTAATTAGGTGGTGGTTTAAGATGTGTTGGTTTGAATTTGGGTGTGGGGTTTTTTTTTAGATTAGACCCTAGTCCTGGGATCTCATTTGCATATATAGCACTGTGAGTTTGCACTGAATATTAACATGTTTAAACCATTACTTCACTGGACAGTAAAGCTGAGACCTATTGTGGGCCTTATTCATAATTGCAATCCTTCTGTAAGAAGGAAGAAGAAGTTTGTGGAGTGTACCTGATGTAAAATGCTTATCAGGCTTTGTAATTTCCCTTGTATTTTCCTTTACTTTCAGGTTCAAATACTAGAATTTGAAATTTTTGTTTCTTTAGACTTTAATAAGTATGGTGAATGCAGCAGCCTCTGGAACAAACGTAGTGTTTTTTAACTAAAGTATGTACCTTGAGTAATGTGTTTAAGAGTTGCTGCCAGAACTAGCTCTGTTTTACTTAGCTCGATAATCCTGGCCATCCTGTGTTGCAGATTCTTGTGAGTTGTTGTTTTTTTTTCCTGGAAATCCTAATACCTCAACTCTCAATGCATTAATTGTTTGTTTTAACAAACTGTTGAGTTTGGTTATGTATTTTAATACTCCAGAGAGCTAGAATAAAGTTCTCAGTGTTGAAGATGGCTCTGCTATCTCATGTAATCTCATAATCTTGCATAGGAAAATGCTGGCCAGCTGGAAATGAGTGCTCTATCAGTGATGTACAAGTGAGTGTCTCTTTTCTTAATTTCACTTTGTTTTGGACTTGATGGTGTTTGGAACCTTTTATTTGTTGCTGAGATATTAATGCATGAAACATGGCAAGAAAAGCTACCTTAATGAAATACTTTAACGTGTAGATAAATGCCGCTACTGTCCCTGTTCTCCTAGCGTGGGCTAAGGGGAGGGTCAATTTCTAGGGATGTTTTTTGTTATCTTTTTGCTAATGTTAAACACTCAGGTGTTTCCTTCTAGTAACTGAAAGATGGAAAATGGGGAAAAACCCAGGAAGCTGTGTGTAGTGAAAACACTGTGTGGTATTTATCTCAAAGGTAACATAAGCTTACACAGGTGTTGCTGCCTTGCTAAAAAAGCCGCTATCCTGTAGCAGGCAGTCTGATGCTCTGCTGGTAGGAGGGAGAATTTTCCCTTTGCAGTCTCACCCTGTTCCAGTACTAAAGGAACAAACTGAAGTTTTACAAGAGCTACTAGTTCCCTGTACCGAGTCTCTGATCCTTTTTGCAAGGTTACTAAATCACAAATTGTCTTGGTGTCCGAGCACCGTGTCCTAAGCAGAGGTACTTGGCCTGTTCTGTGACTAAACACAATGGTCGTTCCCACATAGTTTTGGTTGTTTTTTTTTTCTTTTCCCCCTGAGATGGGTGTTGTTTTCTCATCTAGCTATTGCTGTATGGTAGCATTCGTTTATTAGGAAAAGTATTCCACTTGATTTTTCTGTAGACCCAACAGCAAATTCTCTAAGAAGCTCCCTGCAGGTTTCTTCATAACATGGTTCAACTAAAAGTGTGCTCGTTCAGGTCTTGTTTTTCTTCTGCTTTCATAGGCAGGACTTTATTCTCTACCGATACCCTGGAAAGCCACCCACTTATGCTACGGACAATGGTTTTGAAAACAAGGTGAGAAGTGGGTCAGTTTCCTACCCCTAGTTGCCTTCAGCCCTGCTTAGTTGTAAAAACTTGCCACTGGAATTGAGCTTTTGTAATTTCAGTGCCCTTGCATACCTGAACAGAACCCCAGCTTGTGGAAAAAAGCACAATATTTGCAGTTAACTCAATTATAGTAGCTCTGCTTCCCATCTGAGGGATGGATTGTGTCCTGTTCCCCTGCCAATCTTTTTTGTTGTTCCAGCTCATTATTGGAAAGAAGTTTAATGTTGGCAGGAAGAGGTAACATTGCAATTCCAGAAACACTTCAGAAGAATAGGACACAGAAGAATAGTCTGAAATCTCTTTGGGTAAAAACACTTCCCAGTGGCAATTTGACTGATCTGACAGGGTAGAACAAAATATCTGGGTTGAGTTGAAGAGCAGAACAAGATATATTTATCATCTTGGTGAAGAGATATTCTCCACCACCTGTAATGCTTCTCTTCCTGAAATTGGATGAGGTGTGCAGTTTCTCTTTGTGAAAAGAGGGGCTTAATCAGAATGGATTAAAATTAGTAAATTTTGTGACATACAAATGGAACAGTTTATCTACACAAGAATTAATGTCAGATTCAAAAAGAAGGAACATAAAGGAGAAATACTCTGTATTATTACCTCCCATCTGACCCCTCCTGTTTTTCTTCTGCAGTCGTGTATGTGTGCCTGTGCAGTTCTGTGGCGAGCTCAGGCATGATGCCAGCGAGGCTGCTGCAGCATAAATTTCAGTATGGGCTATTCTATTTACCAAAGTGGCTGGTGTGCTCCGAAATGGGTGCTGCTGCAGCTGTTGGTATTACTTTGTTTACAAGTGCTTTTTTCTTTTTCTATATAACTTCTGTGTAGCCTAATCTAATTCCAAACTGAGCTAACTTTAAAAACCAAGCAGTGTGGTCTGAATGTGTGTTTTTCCTCGAAGGCTTTACCACCAGAGCTCTCATTAAGTGTTGGCAGCTGCCTGTCATTAAGCTGTGTGTATGAGCGGCAGCTCTTTCTGGGCTTGCTCATTCTCACCATAAGACGAGAGCTTGCATTGGCAGGAGAGGTAGCGCATGCTGAATTTGGAGCCCTGGCATCCCAGCTCCTGCTGCTTCCCTGGGAAGCGTCGTTGCTGGCGATGTGCTGACAGCTGCCTAAGGGCTTCTGCCAGGTGTGGTTGGCTGCAATCCCATGCTGAGATGGGATTTGATGACATAGGTTTATTTGGTGTATTGGTGTATATGTTGCAAAAAGCGCCCCTCTTTTCAAAAGGCAGCATATTATTGCTTATTAATAGCAAAGCTTTGTTGAGGGCTGGGGAACTAGATGCTCTTCTAGTCTCTCAGCCAGGGAAGATGAAATGTGCCTTTGGTATTTGGACAGTATATTTTGGGGTTGCTGCATTTAACAACTTGTATTTATTTTACCTCTTGAGCAATTGGGAGTTTCAGAGGTTAAGCTGGAAACAGGCTCTTGTTTCATGTTTAATACAGCACAATGTACAGGTTCATAGTTTTTCTTTGTAGAATAGACAAACTTATTTAGAGACTTTGCCTAGGGTTTGGTTTTAAGCTGATTCTACAGCTTTTTCATACTGCGAATATATATAATTTTCTTGATAAGTTGATATCAACTGTCAAATGAAAGCATAACATAGCCTTGAGATAGGATATCAAATACAAAGAGCTAGATTTTGCATCGTTCCGGCCTTAAAGCACTTTTTTTTTTTATTTCCCCAGATTTTACTGTGCTGTTCCGGCAATGGCCATTATGACTCTCTGTATACAAAACAATTCCAGGAAAATGCGGCTGTTTGCCAGGGTAAACTTGAAACCATTTTTCTGTGGATGACAATTATATGTTTTCATATATTTATAGGCAGTGTTAGTTTTGATTTTCATGGATGAGGAGGAGAGATGGAAGCTCATTTCTTGTATATTGATATATATGTACACTCACTATTCTATCTGTTAAGTGGGATGTTGGATTGAATTACTTCCAGAGGTCCCTTCTTCCCACCTGAATTATTTTATAATCCTCGTAATTGAATTTAATGTAGTAGTGCCTTGTAACAGTAGATGATATCTGAAGATGTGCTTACTTTGAAAATTGCAAGAAATCTGGTGTTGTCTTAATTTGGTTTGAGCGTTGTGTTGGTTTGTTCAGCTGTATTATATGAGATCCTGTACAAAGATGTGTTTGGCATGGATGAGGAAGAGTTAAGATCTGCAGTTGAGGTGTTTCGAAGTGGATCCAAGAAGAACAGAAGCAGTGGCTCCGTAGGAAGTGAGGATGCAAACTTTGATTGTCTTCATGAAAAAGTATCCCGAAATCCATCAGAAAAGAGGTAGTAATTTGGGAAGGGAGTGTGGTAAAAGGGAAGCAAAAAAAAAACAAAAAACCAACTCATTGAAAAATCTTGCAAAGGGCAACTTTTCCAAGTTTCTTTGAATGTTTATGGAGTATTAACTCCTTTTTTTTCCCCACCTGTTACCTGGTACAAACACAAAGCTGAAGTGTGTTGTGGGGGAGAGCGTGCTTCCCTCGGAGCTGGGAAGCATCACATAACTGAACATCCTCTGCTACTGGCTATTATGTAGTTGCATGTTACTCTGTGAAGTGACAGCTTATTTGTAAATAAAATTGTTCCTTATGTCATAAGAATTTTTATTTTTTTTAACGAGAAACTGTTACCATTATAAGCCCCTGTAGCTCTGTAGCGGCGGTAGTGTATTGAGAAAATGAATTTGGCTTTATTTCTTAAAAAATGGAATTGTACCCTAAATAGACAATTAAATGATGGCGTTATTCAAGTCTGTTGGATCACTGGCGATGAGAAGAACAAACAGAATGCACCTACAGAAACCCTCTTAGCCCATGTTGTTTGAGTCAATAAGAAGGCTTGAGGGATGCTTCTGACCATTCCTGAATGCGGGCAGATGGCGCTGGTTTGAGAGGACTTAGAACAGGGTGTCCTCTTGGACTTGACAGTGTGAGAGTTTAATCAGTCAGTGGGATCATCTTCATCCTTTTCTTAGCGCAAGTAGGAGCCCTCATTAGGAGTGGCTGTTGGAACAAGTCAAAGTCACGTTCTTGAAACTAGAAAAAGGATTGTTCTGTGCTGCATCTCAGCCAGAGCTAGTGGTGAAGGCAAAATCTACCACGTGATGGCACCATGGTGCTTTTTCAGATTGTGTGAACAGTTGGTTGATTTTAATCTTGGCTAGGAATTACATGTTGTCTCTTTTGTAATCTTATTTTCAATTACTTAGAGTGGACAACTGGGAAGGCAATGATGCTGACAGTCTACAGGAAGATAAGTTCAAACAAGGCATTGAAGAAGAAAAGGTTTGTCAGTTAGGGAAGAATTCTGTATGGTGGTTTTTTTGTTGTTGTATGATGTTAACCTTTGTAGGCCTAAACCCTCTTTTCTTCTTTTTAAAAACGCCTTTTTGGAAGTGGATGGCTTATTTCTTCCATCTGCTTGTCCTTTGATTTTGCCCTTGAATTTCTATTAAATTGATAAGTCTTTTTCCCTTCTGAGTTTCTCTCGTTATTCTGGAGCTAATTTTTTTTTCCCCCTCAAAAATAGAGTTTAGCAGATATTTTCCGGTCTGCTTTTCTTTTTTTTTTCTCCCAGAAATTGTTTAAATTGGTTCGTTTTTATTTTGAGCACAGTATAAATCTCTTCAGAAAAATTTTAGAAATTCTGTAAAAACCCATTTTCAGATATAATAACTGAAATTCCCACCAACTTTTGAAGCCATTCGTCTGGTTAGCTCGTCGCTATTCTTGAGCATTAGTTTTTGAGCATTAGTTTTTGAGCAAATACAGTAAAAAGGAAAATTTTGGAAAATGATGTGTGTTATCTTAAAATGATCTGCAGATGCCAGCAGGATGGAGACTGGTGAAGATGCTAAATGCACTTGTTAATGCTCTAAACTCTGTTTTTAGCCTCTGGAAAATCCATCAAAGATGCCTGTTCCTTACAAAGTGTTGAAGGCACTGGACCCTGAGATCTATCGAAACGTGGAGTTTGATGTTTGGCTGGACAGCAGAAAAGGTATCTTCAAAAAGGGAAAACCCAAACAACTCTTTCTGTACCAGGCTGATGTTAAATTTATGATTCCGGGGCCTGTGTCACCTGTTTCTTCACAGCTGAAATGTGAAGGATATGGGTTATCTCACCAGGTACTTGTTAATAGCTGTTGTCTTGGCTTTATTTCAAGTGTGAAATACGCTGCTTCTGACACACTACAATGGTGGTAAAGTTGCTACAAATCCAGGCTCTGCTACTTATTTGCTATAGTATGGGCAATACGAGGACTCAAAGCGGAGTATAGAACTCTGTTACTATTCTGACATACTGGAAATCATTAAAATTTGAGAGGTTTTTGTTGTAGGTGTGCAAGGACTTCCGCCCTTTAAGACGTGATTTTTGGTGACAAAGTTGTGTAATAATGAACATCTAAAACTTAGCATTGAGATCTGTCAAATGAGATGGGTTTTCTCTTGTATCCCAGCTCTCCTGGGCTTTAATGTTCTGAAGAGATTTTATGATCTTCGTGGTTTAGGATGGGTTGCTGCTTTTTAGAATATACTATGGCTGATGTGTAAAGCAAGAAGTTACCAAGAAAGATAAATGATATTTAATGTCTGTCTTGCGGTGCTTTGCTTACTGAGGAACTTGTGTGTTTCACAACTGCATAAGCAGTAATGAGGATCATTAAAATTCTTGGAACAGAGTATGGTAACTAATTATCTATGTAAAGTACTGATGTGCAGAGAATCCAGGCAAAGAATGGAGAAAAATCTAGAATCTAGCAACAAGGAGACTTCAGGCAATGTTGGTTGTTCCTGGATAACCTTTCATTTTTGCCGAGTGCCACCAGTATTCTGGCAACACAGTTTGCATCCAGCCTTCTTGATACCAGGATTGGTACTAAGTACAGGATTAACTCATCACAAAAGACACTGTAGTGTTGAAGTAGTAGTGCTACTTACTGCATTATCTAGATATTGCCCTTCTGTCTTAGCCTGGTTATGGTCCATTATAAGAACTTTGACAGTTATTTCACCATTGCTATAGAGAATGTTCAGATATGTGCAGGAAAAAGTTAATTGTCCTATAACTTGTAGTTGGATGCTGTCATGAAGTACTTGTAGGATACGTGAAGAAAGACCAGTAGTTTAAAGGCTTTTTTCCTTTTTATTTATTCATTTATTTTTAGAGCTTCAAAAAACTGACTACATGGTGTTTGCTGGGAGACAGTACTATTTAGGAGACAAGTGTCAGGTTAGTACTCAAAGGAGACAGTTGTGATAAACTATTAACACTGAATTAAACATAGTATGGTAAGCCATAAAAGCATTTGACTTTGTAGAATTTTCCAAGGTTTTTCTCATTCTCTTCCTTGTAGTTACTAATCTGACTTTCTTTTTAAATTTCATTTCTTTCTAAAATCTGTGTTTAAACATTGGGTAGTGTGAAGGAGAAGCTGCTTAGAAATTCCTTGTGAACCAATAGTATCCTCTCTATGACCATGAAAGTTCCAGACAGCACTCAGAATGCACGGAGTGTGCATTTGAGGTAGTTGTCTACTAGATTTTTCACTGGGGGTAAGCAGCAAGTCTGGACTGTCTTCCACTTCTCAACAGGAATGTAGCAAATAGTTTTAGAAAATAGAAATGGAAGAGCTGAAAAGGGAGGAGTGGCATGATCTGGCCAGGAGACGTTGAAAGGAAGGTCAGCTTTCTTTGTACTAAAATGTTGTGTGTGGTGAGGGCCTATTTTTTTTTCCAATGGTGGAGGTAGCGCTGATGATCCACTCAGTGGCTTGTTTTCAGCTGAGCAGAGCTTTTCTTTCCAATTTCCCGTTTTATCTTCTGTTCTCTGCAAGTTCTTAAATGGTACTTATCTGTTTGGCACAATGTATAAAAAAAAGTTAGAAAGCAGGTATCTTCTTACCTCTCAGTCACTCACAGAACTTTTTTTGTTGTTTCCTTCCTCCCTGAAGTTAGTACAGTGCCCTTTATTTTGCCTGCTATTGTGAAGAAGTATTTGAGACTCCTGGGCCAGTAATGTAGTGAAGGCTGCTCCTATTAGCGGTTTGCAGACAGCATTCTGAATCCCCCGAGACAGTTTGGCTCTTTTAGAGCTTCCCTTGTTCTCTCTCCAGGTACGTCTGGAGCCTGGAGGTAAGTATTACAATGCTCATATCCAGGAGGTCGGACGGGATGGCAACACGTTGACTGTATTCGTTGAGGAGCTGGCGGAAAAGTAAGCAGTCTGACGACTTCACCTTTGACCTCTTTTGGGTTGAGGTTGCATATTCACAAATGCTTAAAGTAACATTGTTAACATACTTTGAAAAGAAAAGAGAACGTAGGCTTTTAAATGTAAAGCGAGGCTTTGCTTCCTTTCTTGCTATCCGTCTTCAAGCAGGATGTTGCAGGAAGTTTTTTCTCTTGGATCTCTAATGACCAAAATCATTATTGTAATGCTTTCTGTGCAATCTTGCTGCTTTCTTCTCTGGAACGTGAAAGTCATCTTTGCAGTTTGGGCTTAATTGGGAGAGCAAATTACCCTCTGCTGTTGATTTCTCTGTAGTTTTTATGTTGTACCCGGATTACTAAACAATTGGCACTTTTGGTGAGTCTAATCCGTCTCTCCACCTTGCTGTTCAAAGCATTCACCCTTCTTAAAACTTAGAATTCAGCTTGACGACATAGCGCAAAAATTCTGTGTTGTCAGGTGTTCCTCTGAAGGCATACAAATGCAGAGAACAAAGACTTGACCCAGGAAATCAGTAGTATGGAGGTTAAATCCTAGCTTATCTTGTTTTAATAAAGAACGATAGTGTGTGCTTGGTGTTGGAGAAACAGATTTTTTTTTTATTTATTTCCACAAGCTCGCTATGTTCTTTTTGTGAGGTATATATTTTTTTCTATTCTATCTTAATGTTGCTTCAGCTCATGTGCAGTTACGCTCAGTGCATCCTTGTGGCACTGCTAACGTCAGTGTTCTTCATGTAGGCATACAGTTCCTTTGGCAAACTTAAAACCAGTGACACAAGTGGCACCTGTCCTTGCTTGGAATATGATTCCCAGCCGAAGAGGAGGAACCTATCAGAAAATAGCAGGTGGATACTTCTCAGGAATAGGTTTGTACAGTGTTTCCACAAGGATTCCTTCCCTTGGGGTGCGAGGGACACACTCATAACACTTTTAACAGTAGCTATCTTTGGCTGTAGCAGGTAACTTAATTCAGCCTGTGATACTACACTTGATCACTGCAGGGGTTTGATGTAAAGCCATTCTTCAGGCAGAGGAATGAATTCGCCTCTGCAAAAGAGCAAATCCATTGAAAGTTGGCAAAGTTGGTATTGCTCAAAACAACTGAAAAGGAATTTGGCACTTGAGAACAATCTATAAGGGCTGAGTCTGTGAAGCAAAAAGCTTGTCTGATTTGACTGTATCAGAGATGTGTAGATGGACCAGGCTTCCTCGGTCAATTAAATATGGACTCTTATTTGTTTAATTTGGAGATTTATTTTTTTTTAATTCCAAAAATGCAGCCTTCCTAATGAAATTTTAACATGGAGAGTACTAGGTTGATCAGCTGAAGCTGGGAAGGTATTCACGTGTGAGATGCTTGTATTCTGCTCATATTTTCAAATGCCTGCTTGAGCCTTCGGAATAAGGGTATGAAGTTTGCGTACTTAAAATGCACTTTTTCTGAGATAGGCAGTTGGCTCGCTCTTTTGCATGTGTCCAAATACTGACTTTTCTCAAATGACAAAGGGAACATAGCTCTGGAGTCAGCTCTTGAAGGTGTAAATCTCTCCTTTTCTGTCCTCAACTGAAACTGCAGAAATGGATATGAAAGCACGGAAGAGAATGCTTAAGAAAGTTCGTGGAAAGGAAGTTTTTATGACTGTGGCTTATAGCAGGGGTCAGCCAGTTCTTCCACCTCGGCTACAGCACAGTGTTCCTTCAGGACACGCTCCTCCAGTTCCCTGCTCACAGAGTGGTGGAAACATGGCACCTTACGAACCCTATCGTCCCCAGAATCCTCAGAGACATAACCGTGGGTTTGGGATGCCAAGGTATGAAGCTTTGAAAACCTGTCTGAGATAATCCATTTGTTTTCTATTCATTCTTGCTACAGACTATTTAGTAGAGAGTTTGTGTTCTTTAATAGGTAAAACTACAAATGAGTGTTGTATCTGAGAGGCCTTTCCTGGTAATTGCACCTTTTACGCTTTAAACTTAGGGGATCTACCCGGTTTATAAACAGGCACAACATGGTTGGCCCTCAAATAGCATTCTACCCCAGTCCAGGAAAGAGATGCTATCAGAGCTATGACAATTTCTCCTGCAGGTCCTGGTAAGTGAACATACACCTCTTTACAAAACGTTGCTCTAAAAGCGTTGGGTGGGGAGGACGGCAGCGTGTGGAGGGCTAAGTTGGCTGTTAGTGGCATGGTGCTAAACAGTGGGGTTTATTGTACCTCTCCAAAAAGAGCAGAGTTGAAATTGAGCAGCGAAACCAAGATGAAACTCCAGATAGTAGTGATTCTTAACCTCCTTTCTCATTTTTTAAAGCTCATACAGCCGTAGCCGCCGTCAGATGCAGTGTGTGAATAAGGAATGTCAGTATGGGTTTGTACCAGGGAACGGAGAGGAGCCTCAAGGACCAGAAGAAACTATAACTTTCTATGATGTTGAAGGAGAGGATGATTCTACTTTTCCTACTTTACCAGTAAGTTATGAACAAAGGATATGTTAAAACCTCTTGGGGCAGGGAGGGAAGCCGTATGAATGCTCAGCACTTCTTTACCTAAACGTATGGCCACTTTTTGGGGGGTTTTTTAGTGGTGTTTGTTTGTTTTTTTTTCTTGGAATAAGCTGTAGCAGATAATGTGGTTTTAAGAAGGGAAGGCTGAAACGACTCTAGATTTGCTAAAACCTGTGGAAACCCTTGGTTTTTCTACATGTTCTTCTTCTTCTGCTCACTGGTAACACTTGTTTTCTCTTAGTATATTCTCATACAAGTAGAGGCAAGATTTCTAGTTTCTGTTGCAGTTTGAAAACAAACCAACAAAAATCCCTTTCATGTCTGTCTTGCTCCAAATATTGTAAGAGAAAGCTTTTCACTTGTTTGCCACCCTGTAATTTATCATTTGTGTAACGAGATTCAGAAGCTGTAAAGCGGTAGCCTGGATTGTCCCTGTGGACTTAGAGTTTTGGTATGTTGTTCCTGAAACAGCTACTTCTGCTACAGAAACAGGAGAAAATTCAAAATTTAGTCTTCTCTTAAAACAGCCTTTCTGTCACGTTGCAGATGAAGTGGTGCAGTGTATTCTTAAACTTCAAATCTTGTTGTTTGTGGTCTAAGCCTAGTACAAAGCTGGTTATGTTACAAAAATCAATTGATACTTAGATGCCTGAATAGGGGAGCAGATTTTTTTTTTTTAAAAAACAGACTAGTAGCTTTGAATATTTTTTTTTTTTTTTTACTTTGTTGAAGCAGTGAACTTAAATGTTAGACTTGAATTTAAATGAGGGGGGGGAATCTGCTCAGGGCTGTTTCAGCAGCAACAATTTTTAAATTCCTCCTTATGTGCTAGATCTGTAGTCTTTCCTCAGGGTTTTCTTCAAAGAGTGTCAAGGAGTAAGACCAGATTATCCTGTGTGTTTTTGGTTTTTTTTTTTCCCTTCAACATGAAATCAATAAACTTACTAGCTTTTCCTCCACATTGCCACACTGTTTATATACCTGCAGCCCCTGATGAACAGTTTTCCATGTTCATTCCGTGACTTTGTTCTTGTCAATGCCAAAGCCTTTTCTCTGTCTCTTCTTCCTTGTCTTGTTTAGTAAAGGAATATAACATTTCCTGGGGAAAGATGCATCTCACTGAAAACTCTGCCATCCTACTAGAGGCCTGGTGGGAGAATCTTCTGACTTACCACCTCTGCTTCAGCCTTGGAAATCTTACAAGCCTCTCTGAGCACTTTATCGATCTCGTAGTCACCATGTCTTCTGAAGAGAATTTTGAGTGTCACCTTAGCCATCACAAAAGAGTGAATCAACTTCTTTTGTTCGAGCATCTCAATCCTATATTCCTGCTTCAGAGAACTTTCTCATTTATGTTGTGGTGCAGCTAAGGACTGTCTTCTCTGCAAATACAAAAGGGCATGTGAAGTGTTAAAGGAGGCCTGTGGGAAACCTTGATGGGTGCTGCTCTCTGAAAGAGGCAGACTTGCATGTGTGGGTCGAGTTAGTGTAGACTGTATCTGCCGTGTGTTTCAGTAACTGTGACTAAAAAGAACTGTTTTCCGTGATTAGAGTATCTGGATGAACTGATCTGGTGTTGGTGTGGTGGGAATGCTTCAGGATGAGGACTAAAGGAGTATATTTATGTTGGGGGTGGCAGTCTTGGCTGTTGTCTGGGTTTTGCTAACTCCTTTTCAGCTTGCTTTGAGCTTGAGATGAAGCTGACCAAGTTCTGGGAGGGAGCAGTGTCACTGTATGGCACAGGACAGTGGTAGGTCTTCAAAAATCAATTACCTGAAGCATGCTAAGTAGAACAAAAGGTAAAGGAAAAACGTGTCTGCAGCTGTTTTGCTGCAATCAAGGTGCATAGGGGGACAGACACACAAATGGTAATTCTAGTAAGTTTTGATTGCAGCAAGCTTGGTCTGCCAGCCTGTTTCTACCGTGTGTATTTGTGTAGAGCATGGAAAGGCTTTAAATTCTTTCTAAATGCACACTTGTGACTTGTGCTTTTTAGAGCCAGAGTAGCCCTGCTCCCCTTGTCCATGGTCCAGCAGGATTTTGGGTAGCAAGGAGAGGCCCAAACTCTGTTCCGCCTAACAAGCAGACCCTAAATTCCTCAGAGGAGGAAGAAGAAACAAGTGAAAATGGTGAGTCTTAAAGGATTAGTGGGCAAAAAGATGGGTTTAGATCTTCAGTGTGCATTTGATTGTTGAAGTATGTTCCTTATATCCCGTAAATATCTATTTATTGTGAACTTTGAACATGCGAGCACTGTTATTTTTATTATGAACGTGTGAGCATGTTATTTTTCTTGTCTGCTCTGATAGAGCATGTCACTTCTGTTGAAGCTTGCTGTGCCGTCACCTTTGTGATTGCTTAGATCTGTAGCAAGCCAAACTGTTGCTTAGAGATGTGTGGTGTAAATTTGGTAATGGCAGCCCTTACAGTTTGTGGAATAACAAAATGAGCATATATTGTTTCTCTACCTTTTCTGCACAAAACAAGCAGCTCATTATTCTGATTGTGTTAACTTTGGCTTTAAGCTTTCTTTTTTTTCCTGCTG